CTATCTCCAAGAGTCCATCAGGACAGATTTTGGTAATTTGCCTTGGTTAAATTTAATTTCTATATATGAAGCTTTCTCAAGTTGTGGAAGACTGACCCCATTCCAGTCCTCCAGTCTCTCACAATACATCACTTCTCATATAAAAACATAATTAATTCATGAGATAATTTTTAAAAACTTTGTTTTATATTCATTTGGAACATAGAGATTGACAATTATAGATTGAATTCTTTGCATTTCAATGTCAACTTCAACATATTTACCATGTTCACCTGTCAGCAGTAATTTCAGTTTTAATACTAGATTCATATACAAACTATTCCATTATTCTTTTTTAAACCTCTTATATAACTTCTGGTAGTGAAACGTCTTGGGAGCCAAGCAGCAAGCTCAGAGAACCGACCTCTGTCTAAACCTTCACCCAGAGTCTTAAATACTTTATACATATATACATAGAAGCCAAGCTTGAAGCATCCCCCGTTCCAAGCCAGATTAATTGGATACTTATGGTCTCTGTGACATGACTGGCACTTTATTCTTCCAACATACTAATGCCTGAGAGAAGTCTCAACATACTAATTAATAATTAGCTTTCCTTCCAATGGTAATGGTGATATAGCGCCTTGGAAAGTTCATATCTAAGAACTTTGACTAAGCACATCTATTTAATCACATTTATAACTCTTCTATTCCTAATTGTGTGTTTCTTAATAGTAGTTCAGCCACTTTGCAGACTTTCATCAGAAAGCTTTTCTGCATGATAACCTTGAACTCCTGGACTTCCATGAAAGAAAGTGACTGGAGGGGGAAGAGGCATTCCTGCAGAGAGTACCATAATCAGATGGAATAGAGTCATTTGCCTACAATGAAAAGAAGCAGAGCAGTTAAGCTGGACAGCATTATTTGAATCAAACAGGTAGACACTGCCTTCCTGGATAACATACACCCATCCATGCATTTGACCATTTATTTTACAGGACTTTTAAGCATCCTAACCACATCAGCTCTGAGGAGTGTAAATTCCCCCAACTTTCATACCTTGAGAAAATAAATAGATAGGATAAATATAATGTAATCATATTTACATAATTAATATCAAAACTAAAAAAATGTAGATTACGATATAACTATGCACACACTAGAAGTCTAACCATACAGAACCATAGAATAACTTACGTAGAAAAATAGTCACAACAACTCTGCCTCCAAAGCTTAATGGAAAAATCAAACTTTACAGACATTCACAAAAGTACCTTTAGAATATCTGGGTGGGTTTCATTTCAGAGGAGAGGGTAATTATGTCAACCCCTTATAGATGACAATCTCAGGGTTTATATTAATAAGTGACAAACCATAATGTATTATTATTACTATATTATAATCCCAGATCCTTGGGAAGGGTTTGATAAGTGAATAAAAATGCCAAATCCAGTCTAAACATGTGGCTGACTATGCAATCAACCATAACATAACAATAATGTTGTTATGATGCAAATACACCCAGACAGTTGAACAAGAAAAAAGGGCATAAGGAGAATATCTGAAGGACAGTGAAGAAGATGCATTGAAGCTAATATACCATGAAGGATTAGTGAGTATTGGAGAGACCAAACTGGCCTAAAAGAAAGACCAACTGCAGAATAGTAAAGAGACATGGCAAGGCACAGTATTATATGGCCAGTGCATTAAAAAACTAGTGGACAAAGTAGATAACAAGACCTGGCAATGGCTAAGAGCAGGAGAGTTGAAGATGGGCTAAGACCTTGGCTGCATAAGACCAAGCCTTAAGAACACATCTATGCAAAATCAGAAGACAACAGACAGCAAATGCCACCTCTAAAAAAAAAAAGCTGAAGAAACAATGGACCACATAGTTAGCCATTGCAAGAAGATAGCACAGACTGATCACAAAGACTTGACAAAGTAGCAACAATGGTGCATTTCTTTCTTATCTGCAAGAAACACTGTTATTTGCAAGCAAGAACTGGTGAGACCACAAAATAACGAAACTAATAGAAAATGAAGATGCTAAGTCTGGAACTTAGAATACAAACAGACAAGCAGCTGCCTCATAACACTCCAAATCTAATAAAGTAAGAAAAGAAAAAGAAAAAGAAAAAAGTCTGGATAACCGATGTGGAAGTACCTGGGACAGCAGAACAGAAGAGAAAAAACAGAAGTACACTGACAATGGTAAAAGAAAGCAAAGATAGTACTGATAGTAATAGGGGTCTTGCGTGCAATCCCAAATTATTTGTAGCACTATATAAATACCATCAGCACTGACAGAATCTCTTATCATTCAATTTCAAAATGCAGCTTTACTTGGAACAAATTATATTATGCAATGATATCTTTAACACCATCAAATAATATCTGATGATCTTGAGAGGACTTGATAGGTGGATCAAATGACAAATCTAGTCTAAACATCTGGCTGACTATGTGATCAACCATAATAATATTAATGATAATGCCACAGTTGCCAAAATTATTTACTGGGACATCTATAAAAAGCATCATATGCCAGTAACAAAAAATGGTGGGAACATATAGTTGAAGCAGGGGTTAAAAGATAGCAAATTAGAATATTTTAGACTTTCCAAATACAAACTGATAAAGTCTTGGCACACTTCACACCCAATTTAATTGTGTTGGGGGGGTGGAGTGTGGATAATTGATGTGGTAATACCAGGATATAATATAATAGAAGACAAAGAATCGGAAAGGATTACTAGGTATCACGCTTTGAAAATCAAAGTTGAAAGACTGTGGCAAATACACTAAACAGTTGATCCTGTGGTGGTTCTTGTGGTGACACAATAGGTGCCATATCAATAAAAAAAACCTAGCAAATCTGCACATGGACAAAATTTTCTTCTGTCAATTAAAAAAGGCCACACTGTTTGGATATAGTATGCTCCTACATTACCACTACATTCTTCTTCTAGAGAAGAATCAATTCTTATAAAGACCAACACGGCTAAAGACCGCAGCATTTCACATTGTTGGGTACATAATATTTATTAAACTTTCTTGCTGTGCTGCCCAACCCTGAACAGCTGTGGGTGGCTCACAACAACCAAATAAATGAAAACAATATCAATAAAAGACAAAGATAGTAAACCAAATGAAGTGTGGGGTCACCAGATCTATCCACATCTCAGGGGGGAATCTCGTTCTAGGCGGCACAATAATGTTAGCACAGCATAGAGATATTGTTACTTTGAGGGATCTGATCCTCTTATTTAACCAGGAGAATTGGCAACTGATGGGTGGGGGCTAGCTGGGGAATTCCATGAATTGAAGTCCACAGATCTTAAAGTTTCAAGATTGGACAACCCTGATTTAAAGATTTTGTTTTGTCTTTTGAGTGGTTGATATGGAACAGAGCCTCAGGAAGTTACCTTTTAAGTGCCATCAAAGGTTAAGGTTCACGATAAATTTAAGTAGCTATATCAGTCAGTGTTATATAGTAACATTTATTTCATTTTATTTCAAAATGTAGCTAACAGCTTTGGATTTCTCTGCTAGATAAAGCTTACTGATTTGGAATGCAGCTGACTTAATCTTTTTTTAATTAATCTTGGGAGTAGTTTTACCAGTGTCAGCAAAATTCAAAGTGATCAATCAGGATCATGGATGACCAGTTATCCATATAAGGTGAAGTTATAAAAATCATTCTGGAATGTGGAGTGATGGGGTTTTAACTTGAGAATGTTTAGATACATCTTTTGCTTAGAGAAGTTTTCTAGCAGGAAGAGAAAGGGCCTGGATTCACCATAGATGGATGTTTCAACCAATCTATTTTCTCTTGACAATATATATAAATAAAATTTAGCAACTTTTTGAACTTGTATGATTGCTTCAGCCAATTATTCCCCATTTTGAATCAGCTATTTTCTATTTTCCTGAAGCATAATGCATAAATTATGCTTTATTTATGCAATTTTATAGTGATATAAATATTATTTATATAATTTGTTTATTAGTAAATTTATTTTAAAGACAATTTTTATAATTTATGTCAGGAGGATTGAAAAAATATCTACATACCCAACATTGTATGGTTGTATTATTATTATTATTTTTCTTCTCATTTTCTTTACTACCCCCACTTACTGGTATCATTATTATGATTGTTATCACTCTGTTGCTTTGCATGTACAAAGAGCTTTTGCACCAGAGATAAATTCCTTGTGTATCTAATCACACTTTGCCAATAAAGTATTCCATTTTATTCTAAATAGTGCATTAGTAATGTACTAGGAAGAAGAAGTCTTTCTGAAAAAAAAGTTCTGAAATAATGTTTATTTGTCCAATCATACAAGGAAACACCATCACTGAAGCAAAACTGATCTTGCTATGAATGAACAACTGAGCTTTTGTCCTAAACATAGTAGTTTCAAGCAGAATAATCATAAAAGATGACAGGTTAGTAGCAAGAAAGTTTCCAAAAAAATAAGAAAAACGTAAAGTTTCTATGATGAATCCAATCACAACATGAGGACATAATGTAAACTTTGCAAGAGTATTTTAAAATAATATATATGGGACTCTTAGTATAATGATTTGGCACTGTTTTCCATGTAATAGTGGTAGTCTAAGTAGCAGAGAAGAAGCAAAGAATGAATATAAATATCCAAGTAGAGAGTGAGATATTAAAACCAAAATCCCCTTACTTTTTCTCAGAAATAATATTTTCTGTCTTGTTTTCCAAGTAAATCAGTTTGCAACTGACACAATATAACAGAAGTACACTGGATTACATCTGCCAATGAATAGCGATTTAGGAAACACAAGAGTAGCATTTAATGGAAAGATTATGTTGAATGCAAGCCTAGTAACCAAATTGGGATTAGCAATGCTTTTTACACATTACAACATAAATCAAATTATTGTGCCAAATATCAGTTCTACCACACTGTAGCTGGAATAGGAACATCAACACTGTTTTATTTAAATCTATTGCGAGAACACATTTTAGTTTAGGAAATTACCTGAATTAGATCTTCAAGTTCGGTGTCATTCACACAGGCATGCTGTGACACAAACATTTGCTTCTGGATCACAATAGTTGTTCTCTGGCTGGTTTCATGTGGCTGCTCCAGGGCTTTGAATACAGTAGCTCCAATAATTAAATACAAAACCACCACTAGAAAAATGGTTGATACTGTCTTCCATTTCATCACATTAATAGTTGTATCACTTTCCTCCCGTGAAGCAAGTACAGTGGGCTTGGTAGAAAATGACAGCCGTGGCTTGGAGTTCTGAGTGGCAGATTTGGGGTCCAAGAGGTCAGGTGCCGCCACTAATAAAAAGGGATAGAAAAGAAACAAAACATTAATTTTTTAAACACTTGTCAGTGGCACACCTATCTTGGCATTTTCCTTGCTAGATGAGAAGAAAGATAAGCTACTAATTGTTCTAATTTAAGTTCAGAGATGGTAGCCCTAGAAATGAATTCAGTTTGTCTACCTGTTGAAGAACTTATTATGGATCAAGGGTTGCAGCAATCTGTTGTGATAAAATTATTACATTTGCTATTTCACTCTCTCATGTAACCTTATTACTAGATCTATTGCCCAAATATGATGCTAATTACTGGCTGTAAAACTAATGGTGTAATATTGATTATTTGAAGATATAATTTCCAATTAATATTTTATCAGATTATCACATTGCTTTCCAAATCCTGATCTATTTTAAATATTGCCAATGATGCTGAATATTAATTAAAACAGATACTGTGTATATATGCATACACATTGTGCATGCATGCACCATATATCAGAAACTTCACACATGATATGTTAGCAATCCAACTCTATAGTTTTGTCACAGAAATCCTTTTACAATCCTTAAACTATTATTTATTAGAGTATCACCAACTCGTATTGTTAGGTGAAATCTCTTTAAAGAAACTGGGCTGCAAAATTTCTGCCCATATCTTGAGAATAAACAACAAACCAAACAATGCCAGAATTACATTTTTAGATAATTTGGTCCATAAGATGCTATCTCGTATAAAAGTCCCCCCCCTCTTATTTGCAGCTGCCTATTGATGTGTTGACACTGTTATAGATATAATGCATTGTCCAAACATTCCTTATCATTATTGCCAAAAACAATATGTCCAGTGAAGCTCTATATTACCTTTCAAGTCATTAAGATATTGGCAATATCCAATGTAGTCCTTCCTTATCATTTAACTTTTATCTGAATGAACCTCATAGTCAAAGTAAATCATACACCTAAAAATAGATACAGATCTCTGTCCCTCCTCTTCCATCCTCACTACTCTGATAGAAGGTAAGTTTTAAAGACCATAATGCATTATGGTCCATACGCAAACTATGTTCTTCAGGATATGTTCTGTATAACTTTGCAGCATCTTCAAATGTTGAAAGACGTATAGAAAGATGAGCTTGGAAGATAATATGTAATAAGCATAGATAATTTGAGCTTTCTCTTCCACAGCGAAGGACATAAAGTGGAAGAAGCTGCAGATGAATACTCTTTATGACTTTACTGAACAATGACACCAAGTAGTTAATATTTCCCAAGTTCTACAAACCTAGGATGCGTGTCTCTATCGGGTACCTAATTCCTATATTATAATAGCTCTGGAACTGATACAATCCCTTTCTTCTGAGCCCAGAAATGCAATCTTACAGCCATCTCCAATGGCAGGAGATAGGAAAGTAGTAACTCCTCTGATTTCAGAGGAGTATCCCAGAGTCATTGATTTAAGGGCAACAACTAAATGACGCTGCCTAGAGGCTTCCATGTAAGATCCTTTTTGGCTGATAATGGTAGTGTCTGGCAGTTTAACCAAGCAATATACTAGATAATTAAATTGCAGCACTAGGAGTGAAGCCCTGTGGACTTTCTGGGAATGCAAGGATAAAAAAGATGTTAAGTGGATGGTGGCTTAGCTTGAGAATTGTGTGATGGGAGGAAAAACAAGCAAAGGGCAGAAACTCAAAACTATCCTGTTATTTTATGATCATTTGACACAACAACTACCATTTTGATCTCCTGCCCCTGAGTGTGTTGTCACCCTGTTCCATCCATCTTCCCACCCCAAAATGGAGGCAATCCAGGTTTAGTGCAACAAACCTTCCTCTATTCACCTGCACCTGCTGTTCTTTTTTTAACAGTGATTTATCATAGCGATAACAATAGCGCCCCCCTCTTGTTTCAGAGGCAATGTGCGTCCAGAGTCCCAAAGAAACCTTGGCATCCCGGGTAAGTGCAGTTCCCAAGTTGCCTTCATCCACTCCCCTTTAAGGAAGCTGCATGCAGCTAAGCTAACAATGGGAATGGGATGGCAGCATAAAGTGTCTTCCTCTTGCACTGTTCTAATTGGTGCTACTACACACTCTTCCCTGTTTCCTTTAGCTCATAGGAAGCTTTCCCACCCACCCAAGATTCAAGGTTCCATTTCACACACAAGCAGCACACACACAACAATAAGCCTTCCCAATCCTGTGGATGTCTGGAAGAAAATTAGATCCCCATTTTTCCTTCTTCATTTATTTTTTTAACAAGAAGCAACCGGTCCCCCCCCCCAAAGAGATGCTCGTGAAATCAATCAACAGCGCCAGTGCACATCTTCCTTCAACCTCCACAAGGATAGCAGGCAACGAGTTGGGGAAAGCCCCATCTTTTTTTATTCTTCTTCTTATTTTAATAACAATATCATTTTTTTTGCTTGAGCCTTCAAAATAGAAGCCTCCCTTCCTTGCCCCCCCATTTCCGCCACGTCACTCAAAGCTAAGCACCCCTCGAACAAAGATGAAGTGTAACCCAGAGCTTTGGAGCCAAGGTGTTGCATGCAGCAGGAAGAGCCCGTGCCATAGGGATGGCGAGGCGGGAGGGTGTGGGGGAGGGAGAGAAAGGCAGGGGGGTGCAGGGGCAAAACGGGTTCGCCTGCAATGAGGAAGGTAGGACCGGGGTGGGGGGGCTTCCTTTGCCCTAGAGCGAAGATGCATCGGCAAAAGCAAAGGAGCATGCAGCATTTTTTTTTCCAGGCAGCCGGATTTTTTTTTCCTTTTCCGAGCCAGCGAGACGCGCCATTGTACGAGTACTCACTTCTTATTTACAGACCCGGTGCCCTCTCCTCGCTTCACGGGCAGGCATTTTTTCAGGTCTCGGGGAGGCAGAGTTTGAGAGCAAAGAGGTGGGGGTGGGAGGGCTGGGGAGGAAAGGGGAGGGGAGACAAGAGGACCAGAAAGCGCGTGGGACTGGAGGGGAACCACAGAGAGAGAGAGAGGGAGAGAGAGGGAGAGGCAAAGCAGGGAAGGCTTGGATGCTGAGAGCTCGGATTCCACGCGCGCCCTCTCGCTGGGGTGTGTGAGCCGCCGCGCTCGCCTAGTCGTGCGTGTGCCTGCGTGTCTGCTTGTGCGTGTGTGTGTGTGTGTGTCGTCTCGTGCGTGCGTCTCGTGCGGTGTCTGGGCACCACTCAAGGTGTGTATGTGTGGAACTCCCTCAGCACCGCTGCTCTTCTTCCGCCTCGGTTCCTCCCGGACACTCCCTGAGCTTTCTTAAGCGTCTCTCTCTCTCTCTCTTCCCCCCTCCCTCTCCCCTCCCCGTGGGTGACTCGCGCTCTGAGAGACGGAGCTCGGCCGTCGGCACGCTGTGGCTCTCGCTCTCTCTCTCCGAGGCGCGCGGGATCTCTCCGGCGGGCACGGCGTTTTGGTTTGTAAAACGGAAGGGGGCTTCTCCCTCAGGCTCCGCCTCCCTCGGCTCCTTGAAGCAGGTGACCGTGAGGCTGCTGGTCGTGCCTCTTCATCCCCCCCCCCCTTCGCCGGTGCGTGACACGGTTTGCCCCTTCTGAATAATAGGGGGCGCCGGAGCAGGCTCGGCCAACCTCCGTCTGCGACCTTCCTTCCACGCGGAGTTGCTTCTTCGAAAAGCTCGAGAGCCGCCTGTATCCAATTCCCGCTTGAACTCTGCCTGCCTTTCTCCCATATCCCCGAATACTATCCACGGCGGCGTCGGCGGCTTCCACGTGGCTAAAGATTGAGTAGCCCGTGAACTCACCCGCGAAGTCAGAGGAGCGCCTGGAGCCTGAAAAGGACGGCAGACTCCAAATTGTGGGAGGGGAAAGGCAAAGGGCGCAGACAAATGGCCCGCGATGAAGTGATCCGCCCGATCTTGACTCGCAGACAAGGGTACTTACGTAGCAATGGCTGCGCGGATGGTCGAGCCCTCTTCTGCCACAGAATGAATGAGGAATGCGGCCAGCTACTGCTTTAAAGAGGGACAACTGATGGAGAGCCGTGGATGGATTTCCCCCACCTTTGTTTTACGCTAAAAGCGATTGCTCTTCTTAATAAATGGAGGGGGGGGAGATGGATCTTGGAATGGCACCTGTCAGTTGCCTGACTGACAGAAAGAACATTATATCTGCTCCGTAAAAAGCCGACTGACAGGCTACAGCTTGCGTGCAATGGGAAGAAAGCAGGGTCGTCAATAATGCTGGAGTTAAAAAAATTGTGGCCACAAGAATGGCCCTGTTGCCTGAAGCAACAGAAACCAATTATTCATCCAAGGGTGACAGAACCAGCAGCGCAGTTGTCAAAACTTGCACTCGTTCCCAGTTTAAATCAACCTTCTGTCTAGATAAAACCATTTAAAAATAGGTTTCACATTGTCAAAAGAAGAATCTGTTTGAGTCCCATCTGACTCTTTGGGAAGCACTGATCAGACATGACATGTGCCAAATGATGAGGACAATTCCAGGTTCCAGTGTTCCCTACATCCCAAGCCAAGAAGTTACGGAGGACCATTTCCAGTCACCATGGTGGGGGATGACATCCCGCCAAGCCCTAAAACTGGCCAATAGGACCTTCATCTACTGCAACATCAAAAAATGCATGACAAATGTGCTACGAGAAGAGAGAAAACTGGAACTGGAGTAACTCAATATGACTTTAGAGGTACAGTTAAAAGGCAAAGGATATACAATAAGGACAAGATATGCAAAATGATGACTGGAGCATGTTCATCCAACAGATGAGGGACATGAATATCGGTGGAGGAGGACAAAAGGGACACAGATACGTTGACTTCATCACAAAAATGAAGTGACCTAGCTATTTGCAACACATGCAAATATGTAATTGTCATTTGCATGATGATATCATCATGACTGATTATGGACATGAGGATAAAGCCAGAGGGAAGTAGAAAAGGGAAGAAAATATACACACTAGCATTGCCATTTTTCACCTTTTATTACCTTGACCCTGAAACAATCTCTTGTCTAGGCTGAATGCTTGAATCAGATATATGCCAATGTGAGACAAAATTACAACAGTATGAATAAAGACCGATGAGTTGAAAATTGGAGAAAGAGCCTGGAACATTTCCACAAGTGACATTTGGATTAGTTCCTTTGAACCTGGGAGGGTAATAGAATGTGTTTGAGGGATGTGGGGAGGGGGGGGGAAATGCTGCCTAGGAAACAATCAGATAAAAATTGTTCGGGTGATGGAAAGTGATGGTGGAAAGTTTCTGCCTTTGGGCTTGCAAGATATAGCTTTACAATAAAGTAGAATTAGCTCATCCAGTTGTGTTTCCTGTCTGCTTTACCAAGGAGAGCTGATATCAAGGCAGCAAGTACAAAACAGAAAATATTTGGCTAATTTATCTTAACAGATGAATGAAAATGTGTGGTCTTCTGTAACTAGGGGTTGACCCTAGTTATCTCTTTATTTCAGTACCAAGTAAATTTTGGGGCATATGATATTGTCTAGTTTCAACTATTGTATTATTTTTCCACATGGTTAAGAACTAAGCGATATAATGAATAAAATTATCCAATGCATCTGTGGTAGATTTAGACTGCATTAGAATGTATAACCTTTTGCTTAAAATATAAATGGTTTCTTATTTGAAGTAAATG